TGACAGTGTCATGTCAGTCTTATGCACACTCCTTCAAATAAAGTGTTCCCTTTAGTTTTTACATGTTTAACTTAAAATATCTTGGTAACATATTCCCTAAAGAAATTTCTTCAGTTTATTTAAATTTGTTGAGTTTTTACTTTTTAACAGACACTGTTGTGAAACTGAGCCTTGCTTTACTCTACAGGTTTAGATCCATTTAGATTAGGACTGGCCTCTAAATTACAATTAATGCTAAAATATAACATTGTTATAAAAAAAAAAGAAAATCAAGGTGGTTTCACAGATGCCTGGAGATATTTCCAGATTGTCTCTAAGATGTGGTTAAGTAGCATTTCGTATGGGCAGAACCTTGTGCCATAAAACTGAATTTGAATCGATCAGACTGAATCTGTATTTGCGTAATTTGAAATTAAATCCATTGGTTTGAAAATGAATTTTACTAAATTGAAACTGAATCTAATGGTTTGAAACTGAATTTGTTTTCTGCTTGTCCTGAGCCTGGTTCTGCTGGAGGTTTCTTCTTCGTGAGGGAGTTTTTCTTTTCCACTGTCGCCTTCATGCTTGCTCAAGATAAGAGTTCTGTGACGAAGTTAAATTCAAAGCAGTCTGCTCCTCAGATAAAAATTATTATTTTTATATATGAATGTTTCAGTTCAGTGCCCTGAGATGACTTCTGTTGGAACTTGGCACTATATAAATAAACTGAATTGAATTTAACTGAATTTGCTGTGAAACTGCATTTCATTGTATTGAAAATTCAGTTTGACTTAGGGGTGCACCGATTGCAGTTTTCTGGCCGATCACCTATTTCTAAAAAGTCTGACCTGCCGATTCCGATCTTGGCCAATACGACTTTGTTTTATAAGCGACACTGTCAATTCAGTTTCAATTCCAAAATTAATTTTTTTGTGTCACACATCCAGGCCCTTGAGAAAGTCGGCGTAGTCGAACACAGATTGACAGTGAAACTTCCTTTACCGAAATGTAGACGTGGGATTCAGTCTCAAGGAGGCAGTAATGCAACAGAATGGATGCATCCATTCATCCTTTTTCTTCTGCTTATCCAGGGTCGGGTTAGGGGGTGGGTAGCAGCCTAAAGTAGCCCAAGCAAAAGCAGCCCAGACTTCCCTCTTCCCAGCCACTTGGGCCAGCTCTTCCGGAGGAATCCCGAGGTGTTCCCAGGCCAGCTGAGAAACATAGTCCCTCCAGTGTGTCCTGGGTCTTCCTCGGTCTCCTCCCGGTGGGACGTGTCTGGAACACCTCACCAGGGAGGCGTCCAAGAGGCATCCTAACCAGATGCCCGAGCCACCTCAACTGGCTCCTCTCGACATGGAGAAGCAGCAGCTCTATGAGTCCCTCCCGGATGACCAAGCTTCTCACCCTATCTCTAAGGGAGAGCCCAGACACCCTGCGGAGAAAACTCATTTATCTCGTTCTTGCGTTCATAACCCAAAGCTCATGACCATAGATGAGGGTAAAATGTAGATTGACTGGTAAATTGAGAGCTTCACCTTTTAACTCAGCTCTCTCTTCACCATGACAGACCGGTACAGCTCCCGCTTCACTGCAGATGCCGCACCTATCCGCCTATCGATCTCTCGCTCCATTTTTCCCTCATTCGTTAACAAGATCCCAAGATACTTAAACTCCTCCACTTGGGGCAGGACCTCCTCCCCGACCCAGAGAGGGCACTCTACAGTTTTCCGGCTCAAGACCATGACCTCGGATTTAGAGGAACTGATCCTCATCCCGGCTGCGAACCGCTCCAATACAAGAGTGAATGAAATCCGCTGTAAAACACCAAAGAAGAACTTTCTTTATCGCTTATTTTGAGTTGGAGCAGTGGTCTTGTGATTCCTTAGATAGAGAACTTTTTACTAATTGGCTTTTATGTATGTGAATGTTTCTGTAAAGTGCCCTGAGACAACTTTGTTGTGATTTGGCGCTATATAAATAAACTGAATTTAATTGAATTGAATTGGTGCACACGAGTTCATGCCAAGTTCATGTGGCGCTACTGCTCCAGCTCAAAATGTGCTATAAAAAAGTTTAATTCACGTGAAATGTGAGTCTCAATCTGTGTTTGATTACTCCTTGGATTTCTCAAGGACCCGGATGTGACACAAAAACTGAATTTTTTTTTTTTTGGAATTGAAACTGAATCATAGAACTGAAAATGAAAGTAGTCAAACTGAATTTTCAGTACAACAAAATACAGGTTCAAAGCAAATGAATTCAGTTTCAAACCATTAATTCAGTCTCAGTGTAGTGAAATTCATTTTAAAACCAATGGATTTAATTTCAAATTAGCAAATATAGGTTCAGTCTAGGGGTGCACCGATAAATCGGCCCAAATTTCCTTAATTTTGGGAAATCAGCCGATACCTTCATGAGAAACCGATTTTACCTTTTTTTGTTTGTTTTAACAACAATTATCTGAATTTTCATTTATATTTCAGAGCACTACCTCATGGCCCGTTAAAACAAGTTTGTATTGTTTCTAGGATATTGTTCAAGGGTATGTTTTTCAATAAAATAATATTGGAAAATTGAAGGTGCATTGTGAAATTATAACTCCTGACGTTGTTTATAAAACAAAATTGGTATCGGCCAAAATCGGAATCGGCAGGTCAGACTTTTTAGAAATCGATGATCGGCCAGAAAACTGCAATCGGTGCACCCCTAATTCAGTCTGAGCAATTCAAGTTCAGTTTCTGATGGCACAAAGTTGGGGACATAAATTCATTCCTACTGAAGTTGAACCAGCTTAACAAATGGCAATTTTCAAGCATTCAATGTCAGTTTGTGTAATATTTCACATGATTAATTTCTGTGCATTACTGATATTTTAGCATATTCCATAACCATCAGTGGTGAAGTACCACATAACTGTTTTGGCTTTTAGTGTTTTAGGCCTGTGACTATTTACCTAAATTCTAGTCAGTACAGGGTTAATTAGAAATATTGGCCTGAATGACCCCGTGATGCAAGTACACGATTCTCTGTCCTAATGATTGAAATTCATCAAACGCTGTCTTAACCAGAGCTGATGTTACCCTGTGCCATTGTTTCAGACACTTTTTTTTAATGTTGTGCCATTTGCCCTTTTTATCTGGGTACAAATCAAGCTTTTTATTCTAGGACCAAATGTTCTCTGTCTCATTGGGGGATTTGCCATGGCAATCAATAATTGCACATGATAAAAGAAAAAGATAATCATTGTAGAAGTCCATGCTGATTAGCAAAGAGGTTCTGCTGTTCAGCCTCTTAAAACACTGTATGATGTTGTGCATTTCAGAGCCAAGCCTTAGTAAATGGACCTATTAACTCTAGTTGCACAATATCAGAATCATAAAAAAAAGTTTAACATTCTCCATTTGTATGTTGTGCTTTTCATCTGTTGTGCTTGGTGTCTGTAATCAACCTTTTTTACTATGAAATGCTGCTGTTCGTTGAAACTCAAAAGTGCCCAAAATATTTTTGTGAACTGATGGTGTGCAATAAATGGACCGGTGTTGTTTCAAAGTTTTAATCCTGTCTTTGGAATGGTGAATCTGATCTATATATATATACAGTATATATAAATATGCATATTGTATATTAGAATGTATACTTTTATTTAAATGTGACTGAAGGTGAACCACACAGACAAGGACCCCATTTGATGTGTTAAACAAGGAACAGGGCTTTGGTATCAAGCAGATGGTTCTGTTTAGCTCTTACGTGTTCGTTTCAAAGGTTGCATGTTCATATCGTTCTGTGAAGTGAAAGAGCATGTCTCGACTCGATGGTGACTTCTGTCTAGGCCTTAGAACTCTTCATCTGGTGTAGCACCGACCTGGTCAGCATGCCCTCTACTTTTCTGTACATTACACCTTTTTATGTGCAATCTGAAAAAATATCTTGATTACAAACAGGACATGCCCTTTCAATGTTCACTCGATGTTGTATATGTTTTTCAGTCCATATGGTTTATTTCAAAGGAAAAGAAAAGAAAAACCTGGTAGCTCCACATAATATATATTTTTGGTGATTTTTGTATTCTAGTTGCTGTTTCATGGCATTTTTGGATATTCTTGTTAAATGTGAATAGAGCAGTTTAGTCTTGGAGTAAGGGGGACTTTGATAGTCTTAACTTTGTGACTGCAGTGTGTTTGTGTATATAAATATAAATACATGTACAGTATATACACTCATGCTATGTTGCATATTCTTTACTTGATGCTTCAGACGGATGTTGTATTAGTGTCTTTGATACTGTATTAAACTAGTTTGGAAGAACTACAATTATGTTTCAAATCATTTTAGGAGGTGCTGAGTGTTTTCACTTGATCATATTAGACAGGTAGCAGTAAAAAAAACACAAGACCACTCTTTAAGAGTTTATGGTTGTTTTACATCTTTACTATTGTTCTGGTTTTGCAGTCCTGATGTTCTTAAAATAGTTGTTTTTGTATAAATATAAAATGTAAATAAAATAACCAAAGTCTGAATAAATCACTGACCTTGCCTAAATTTTTTAATAACCAACAAAAATTAATTTATTTTTTATTTATTTTATACTTTTAATGTATAAAAAGTTTTATAATGATTTTAAAAGGATAATTTAAAAATAAGCTTTCACACCTAAACAATGTAATGCAAGTTCTTTTTTA